AAGCAGATCTACTGGATTTTTTGAAAAATAAAAAACACTAAATTTTGTATATATAATTCCATGTTTCTGGCTCAAAACTTCACCTGTTCAAACTCCAGTTGATCGACCAAGAAAACTGAAGATGGCAGTTCTCCAGACTCTCCAAGAAGTTCACTAGACAAACTCCTTGAAGTATGCTATTTCTGATTTAGTCTAATGGTGTTTCACTTAATGTAATGTTTAATAACGTATAATGTCTTAAGAGAGGAAAGTGAAACACTTTAACTGTATTAAAGAAATAGTAGGTTTGGTAATGCTTATCGTTGAACTGCTTAGATATATTAGAAGAATTATTAAAGCAGTTATATAATACAGATTATAACTGAGAGAATATCTCATGATAACTTATTTAATGTTGTATCTATGTTGATGAATTTCGTAGAAGGATTTATTAACAAACACCTAGACCTTCAAAATGAAAAGTTTAATGATTTGGAATTAGTGTTATCTCATGATAATCTTGAGAGTTTTAACCCAGACGAGTTCTTTCACAGTGTATAAATAAAAAAAAAACTCTTTAATTTGTATTCAGTTGTCTCTGAGTGTGTCCTTTATTCCATACATAAATTTCCTCCAATTGGTGGCTTGTGTGCTTCACTTGCAACTGCATAACCTGGATTTACATAAATTCATTTGTAACTGGTGTGAAGTCAAACCCAACAACTATGCTCTTGGACTGCCCCATTACAATACCTTTTTTACAATTGAAAGATGTTTTTCTTCACAGAGCTACACTGTTTGTTGCTCAGCTTTGAGTTAATTTTTTTCTCCACATAAACTTTTTGTACTCTACAAGTACACTTTAACATCTATCTCTTTATAAAAACAAAAACCTACATGAACAATAAAATTCTTGTTGACTAATGTACTGGTAGCTAACCTTCAGTCTTCAACTAAAAATAAGATATGCTAAGTACTAATTAAACAACCATAAAAAACTAACATAGGAAGGAATTTCATGAATATTAACTAAGAAAAAAATCACCAGTTCAAACTAGAGATTATTCAAGAACTGTACATAAATATCTGATTAAACATAAATTACAACTGTTATTAATATACATATAGAAACTTTCTAAATGCACTTTTGCTTTAAAATATTAAATGCTTATATTTCATAATTCAATCTTAATACTAGTTCTTGTTATTTTTTTACACAAGCTTTCAAGGAAGTTATATACAATTACATTTGAAATGCAAAAGTGGAAAAAAATGTTTTATACCAATTTTCATACATATTGCCAACATCAACATTAAAGGTACATGTTTTTATGTTTTATTCAAGGTAACAAAAAACAACATCCTATAATTACTTTAGTAACACTCCAATTTCTTTACAAGATAAACAACAGTTTCTTCTGGAATATCATTACCTGCATATCACATAACTGTCCCACCTTAACTATGACTTTTCTAAGACACGTTTAGTTTTACTAACTGTCTTCTTCTTACATCGTAACTGGTTTAGATGTCAATAGCCTTGTAAGAATGTGTAGAAGTGAGCCACGAGTTGATAGAAAGAATAATGTAGTGTAGTGGTTCACACTTCAAACAGCTAAGGGAAGGACTTAGAAAAATCATAGTAGTGCATAATGTCTGTATCACGTGCACATACATAAATATACACATGCATGTAGATTCTACGACAGTTTTGTCAATTTTAACATTTAATGGGAAGAGAATTTAAAAACAGAATTTCTTTTAATATTCAAAAGTAATTTTACAAACTATAACTATGGCCCAAAACTAAAGCTTGTACATGAACAACAGACAAAACTGAGACACGAAGTACAATGTCGGAAAGGGGTAACAATTAAGAAAGGTATCTGAAAGAAATATGATCTAACAAAGTAGGAGTATCACATATATATTTGGAATTTAAAGCTGGGCATGCGAGGCATTTTTTGATATTTTATTACTAACATACATAATTAAGTGCTTAACAGTTTAAACTGTACTCATAATAAAACTGCATTTGTCAAAAGTAATGTCAGCAAAACAAATTACTATAGAATATTATATACATCAACTGAACACATTATACACATATTCCTAGAAGGTGTGTAATATACACGAATAGCTACAGTATATTAATACATATTCTATAGTGACTCGAAATCTGTCCTTTATTGAGAAAGGCAAAAATCAAAGTGTACTTATTAGTTATACCAGTTCATCAGGATGGTAAGGAGGAGGAGGGGGGGGGGGGGTGGTGGACTCATTGAAAAAAAGATTAAATGTGATGCATTTTTACTGCTGTAAATACAAGTAGATATATTACTATATGACTTTTAAGCTTAAAACAAATGCATATTTAACGTGATTCTGATAAAAACATGCAAATTGCATAAATTAACAATACCAAAAACCAATTTTAAGCTATATCAAATCTCATTAATTCAACGGCAAGATCATTCTCAAATTTTATGAAGTTACACACAGTTTTTCTATGTATTTCAGGGGTGAAATTTTGCCAGTACAGAGTACCAGAACATATTTTTTAAGGTGATACTAATACCGGGACTCATTTGAGCTGCTTTTTTCAGATGAGAATGCATTTCATTGTCCCATCAGAAAGCATTTATTCATTGACACTTAAATTGTTATCTTTTATGTTTAGATGTTGATTTTTTTTCTTTTTCATTAACAGGTCCACTTCACCCAACTAAGTACCTCTACTTTTTTTTGAGAATTTCATCCCTGATGTATATAAAAAAAACTGTTAAATTATAATAACAGAATTTTACATAAGTAACATTTCTTAAATCAATTAGATAAATATTTAAGTATAAAACTCCACTTTAAGTTTACATATATCTCACTGTTAATATTTTTGATGGCATTGTACTAAGCACTATAGATAAATTTTTGATGAATTTTTTACTTTCACTGTAACAACTGGTGATGAGTCACACATGCAGTGCAACATAAAAAAAACATTTTCACAGGTTGCTGAAATAAAGCATATAAACACGCAGTGTATAGTATGTGCTCATTTTCAAGACAACTAACAAAACCAACTTAAATAAAATACACAATGCAAGAGGAAAAAAGAAAAATAAGACAACAAATTTAGAGAGAAACGACCTTTATACTCCAAATAATTATAAGAGATTTTTATTTTAACAGACACTGCCTTCGCAACTTCTTCAGGGTTAGTGTCACAAAGGTGAAACATTGGTTAAAATAAGTTTTCTTATAATTATCTGGAATATAAAGGTTGTTTTTCTTTAACTTTGTTATTAAAATGTGCAAATCCCTCCAGTATGCATTACAAATTTTGAAAGACAACAACAACAACAAAAAATAAACAAAATTACCGTAACTTTGTTTTTCAGAAATAAAAGAAAAAAATGCAGATAATCAATCAGAAATACTTCTAAAGAGCATACTTTCAGCTTATATTTGAATGAAAACCATATTTTATAAAGTGCTCAATTTTTTTTAATAAAGAATATTATGTCATTTTCATTAAGTCCAGATATCACACCAAAACCATTACAGTTTACTATGTGTGACCACTAGTCAGTCTTGAAATCTAACAGTCATAAAATTGCTATTTCCTTCCTCCAATTGGAACCCCAACTGTTTGTAGAATTTGACCATTCTATCCCTGCAGTCCAGTGTAATCTTATAACAGCCCACATGTTCAGCTAGCAATCGGATGGTTTCAACCAACCTGCACACAATTTTAAAAGTATCCAATTAACACAACATAAAAATACTGACAAAATATTATCTTGCCTCCATTTTAGTGAATTATAACTTATCTTGTCAAATAGAAGGCTACTAAACAGGACAAGTTCATGAAATTCTAAAGTTTTACAAGTATACAGATAGCCTCCATGACAAGTCTCTGGTTTCAAAGTTCAAGTCTATCACTGAAAATACACACACACTACACTTAAACTAAAAATAGCAATATCAGTTGCATTTAGTTTTAGGCTCATCTGAACTTTCTGCATAAAAATTATATAAAACTGAATGATTATCCATATTTATATTTGGTTTTTCCTGTAGATGCTTTATTTGTTTCTAAAGTGAAATATAGGTGGGGGCATGAAAGTATAAACTTTACTCATCATGGTTGTAAACATCAAAAACCATTAGTAATAAAACAAGGTATAAGTGCTGAAGTTGTGATCCCTGCTTTGTATTCTATACATACAAACTAAATACAACTTACAGCTTTCCAAGTTGTCTTCCTCTGTATTCATCGCTCACGACTACATCTTCCAATCTCCCTCTCTGAGGAAATAAAAATATTGAGCTTTTATCATATGTGACACACACTTTATAAAACAGAGGGAAAAATGATTTGCACTTTAACCCTTTAGGCACACCCACTGTAGTATGGTGACCACATAATGCAATTTGAATTCCCCACTAGAAATGCTAATTGAGCACACACAAAATGAACAGACTAAGCCTAATCTGCACAGATGATGATCTCAGCCGCTGATTCACACTCGAAGAGACAACTGAACTTGTGCAAGGGGATGATGATGATTCTGGCTCTGAACCTGAATTATCTGACAATTATTTTGAGCATGATATGATCGATACTAATATGGATAGTTATAGTAATTATGTCAAAGCCGAGCTCATGGGGAGTGTGATGATGGTGACACTGACTATGATTATTTCTAAAACAGCCAAACTGAGGTAGAATTATAGGGAGATCTCATGGACATGGTGCAGGATGTAATAACAATAAACCTGTTGCCATTTCTAATAGAGTTGGGTATACAACTACACACCAAGAAGACGCCTGGTAGGGGTACAACAACCTGCACATGGGTGTGGTCGACTTTTAGCAATCAAATTGGGTATGGACTTGGTGATGCAAATAATGATGGGTGGAGGTTGGTTGTGGATGAACATTTTAAGCCTTGGATTTGTTACTTTTTTATGATAGAAATATATGGGACAGGGGCAACCAGGATCTAAACAATGCAGACCCTATCAAATGTTTGCAATTATTCCTCGATAGTGCTGCATTTGATCACATTGTAACAGAAACAAACTGCTATGCTGATCAGTTTTTACAAAGGAAAGGTGATAATTTGAAACCACATTTACAATTATATAAATGAATACTTGTGATCTATCAAAAGATTGAAAGCATCCTTTATTTTACACCTTGAAGTGGGCTTAGTCAATAAATCAGAGATAAAGGACTACTGGGACACATTTTGACTAACTGACACTCCTGGTTTCTGCTGTGTCCTTAGTAGGGATAGATCTGAATTGATCGTAAGCTTCTTGCACTTTTCAAACAATATTTAACAAATTGCTAGAGGGGCTTCTTGTCATGACAGGTTATTCAAGGTGCATCCATTGAGTGACATAATAACTCCTAAATTTGCACAACCATTTGGTCCAAAGAAAGGAATTGGAATTGAATGAAATAAAAAATTGCATTAAAAACCAAAGTGTTTTGAAAAAGTACAACCCTGAGAAACCAGATAAGGCTTTTGCATCATCTGAGTCAAAAAGTGGATATGTTCTTGAATGGTGAAATTAGAAGAAAAAAAGAACAAACTACAAATTTCTCAAATATGGCCACCATGTTTGAAGTGTGATGTCAGAGATGCAAATCAGGTCAAATTATTTACATAATTAGAATCTTCAGGTTGTACTGAACAGTTGTTTCCATATGTTTCTTTGGATATTTGAAATGGTTTTAGAGGTATACTTGAGCTAATTAGACATGTGTATAAACCTGAATATACTAAAAACAAAGTATGTGCCTAAAGGGTTAAGAAAAAAATTTCAAAATACTAAGTAGTTAAAGCCACATACACACAGATTTACAAAAGCCAAAATTTTTGGAGTGATAAGTTCAAGGGAAATTCTACAAAGTTTTTAACCATTTTACTTTATTACCACAAATTAAAGATTACATTAATAATCTTTTAGATAGAAACTCGTGGTTGTTTACATTAAACTTACTAAAGTATTAGTGGTTTAGACTTGTTTCCAAGAAGCTCAAGTATGACAATCTTGTCAACTACATAGCACCATAACAATTCAACAACGTAACATGGAATAACAAAATGGATTTTCAGAAATTAGCAAAGCAAACTGAATTATTTAAAGTACTTATTTTTACTTTCATTATCAACATCTATCAAAACACACACAAAACAACCAAATGCTGAATATTATTTAATCTTTAAATTATACAAGCTTGCAATCAAATGAAGTTGCTGACTGACTATGACTGAAATGTTATCAGAAAAATACAAAGTAAATACAAATCTAATATCATATTCTTACATATACATCAACATGTACATATTTTATCAAAATGATAAAACTTACAAATCCTGCATCATGTATAAATTTTTGTTCTACAGCCAGTGTAGCTGATCCAATAATCTGTCCGGAGACTGTATCTTCAATCACGGTAATGTAATGCATACCTTTGCATGAGCTCATTGCATGAAACCTATCTGGAGATTATATAATTTACAGATAAAAAATCTTGTACCAATTGATAAAAACAGAATCTATGGATCCCAATCAAACTTTGCAAAATTCCAAAAGTAAATTATACATGTGATAGATCAAAACTGACAGATCTTTATCTTTTATAACTACAATAATAATGTGTCTGCAAGTCAGATAAAAATTCATCAAATAAATTCCTCAAACTTTGTTCATTTCTGCAGTCAGTGTACATTTTTAAACAGGATTTAAGTTGTTGTGGACTTGTTCTAGTCATTTCCTAAGGCTAAAGTTACATCTTACTGCAATCTTACAAGAGCTTGTACTCACTTGGCCAGGTTTCTGTATCTCCTCTCCATTTGGGTGTGGGTCATACCCAAATGGATGGATGGTGCAGATATCTGTAGAGGCTAGTACTATACTTGCAAGTTAAATTCCATTAAGTGTGTAATGAGAATTAGAGGATACCACACTCGGACTTTTTGATTTGACTTGAAAGTTTAATATAGGCAAAAATCTTGTTAAAGTACAGAAATACTTCCATCAACTGCCACAAGAGTGATTGTTCAAGTCATAAATTAATTTTTGGTTATGCACATGTGTTGGAATATTTATTTGACTAGCCACACTGCAATACATTTCCTGTTAAATCTCCTATCTTAAAAACCTACTGAGCATAAAATTTTCAGGATATATTCATGTAACATAATGAAGCTGAAACTCAGCATTATGCAGATATAAACACAAACCCAAAATTTAAAAATCATTTTCACCATGTCTGGTTAATATTTACATTAAAATGTTGAGTTACAAAAAACAAAAATGATAATTACAACATGTTTTTCCAAGAAGGAAAAAATCATGCATGGCCTAGCGTGCCATATATATATATATATATATATATTTACTTCAAGTGGATTCCTCGTCATCATGATTTTTTAGCTAGAAGTTAATCTCATTATCAAAACAAAGCCTTTCAGGTACCAGGTGCTTCTAGTCAGCTGCTCTCCCACTGGTCAATAGTTCAGAATTAGAAGTAGGGAATCTCTGACCAGGTCAATTAGTCCATGATTGTGAAAGGTGTAGTTCAAGTTGAAAATACAATCCTGAAGAGGAGATTTGTCTATGTCTAACCATATAATAGTTATTAAATCTGAAATTCAAGATCACCTTTGCTACAGTAAAGTTTCAAAAAGTTATTCTTGTTTTTTGAATTTGATGCCAAGCTACTCCAGGGCTATCTGCACTGGTTTTCCTTAATTTTAAAGTGTTAGAATAGATGGAAGGCACCTATTTATTACCAATCACTGAAAACTTGTGCTGTTTCTGGTAATTTGCTTTTAGCCATTTGCACTTATTCAGAGTTTAATTACGTCACCATTTCAAATGTTAATCAATACCCTAAATCATTCCACTGCAAGTTCATTCCCTTACTAAATAGCTTTTTTGATGGAATACAATCTGTAACATTATCCCTGAACTTCACAATCCATCATATTATTTTTTACTGCAACAATGCTGTTGTATGACTAGAATAGCACATACCACCAGACAGGCCTCAACATTAACTTCTGAAGGCATTATCAAATAGTTGCTTGATTTTTGAGAAAGATATAAAAGACAGACATTTAACAGAAGAAAATGGAAAACAACCAGGAGATGTGAGCAAAAACGAATAAACAGAGAGAGAGGCAAAGGAAGAAAGGTAATATGCTGCCAGTAACAAGTAAAACTTAATTTATTGTGTTATTTACTGTAGTAATAATAATAAATTTGTTTAAATTGGTAAGAGTCACTTCCTGATAGGAATAAGTACACCCTTAATACAGTTGAAGGCAAAATTACGTGCAAGTATAGAACAATTATAACAAACTGATGTCAGAGGCAATCTACAACATATACTAACATAAAAATCAACTTAATTGTACAAAGTTACTCAATATGTGCAATAGATAACACAGATCTAAAAACAAACACACAAAATGATTCACTCTACCAGTTAGAAAACAACTGTATCTTCTTGATGCTTAATAGTTTCACTGCAAGCTTAACGAGCCAATTAACTGACTCACCTGTATTTATAAACTAATCCTTATTCTAGATATTTTGCAAAGCTTCTCACTCCTTAAAACTCCAAGATATTCTAAAATAACTTTATATTAAATGTGATTTGCACTCTAGCTAACATCTAAGTTACAACAACATAAATAAGCTTATAGCACTGCCCCATTTTAAAGTTCCTCATACTATCTTAATACAAAAATAAAACTACACTAAACTGTCCATCACCAAGTCTTTTTCATGTTTTTGTATTTGTTTTCCCCAAAGCCAATGATAAACAGATGGGATAGAGTTTTGTCCTTTTTTTATCCTATTGCTGGGGGAGTTCTTCCTGGGTAGTGGTCGAGTGAATCTACTAGCAGATCTACTGGAACTCCAGGATCGTCACAATTTGAAGTTCTGCTGTCAAATAATTTTAGGAGCTATCCAGTTGGCTGTCCTCTCACTGATGTATTTCCAAAGATGATCACAGTGGATGACCTTTGGTTTGGATTGCCTATCCACCAAATACCTACTTAACTTTGGAATTTGCCCTCTATTGTGATTAGAACTGTTCAGCCATACCATGTCACTTTGATAAAATCCAGTTTTATCAGCATATGGGTAAAGTCATGTATGATATCTTTATTCTTGACATCCACGAGAGAACTCTTTTTCACCACCAATTCCTTAGGGCATTCCAGAATATTTGGTTCTAATACTATCCAGTCACTAGATAAAGAGTTGCTACTAATAGCTTCTGGTACAAGTATTTTACTTCTTGGTAGTGCAATAACCACTGTCCACATTTCTACTGGAAGTCTCACCTCCAAAGTAGTAACTGTCATGTAGTGCCCAGAGTTTTCTTGGTCATAGAATGTTAAGTTAACTGAAGCTGACCTAGTCTCACATGCATGTCTTTGCATGAAATCAGCTCTCAATATGCTCTATTCCTCAATCAATTACCCACACATCATGAGGTACAGAGAAGCTTCCTACAGTAAGGGTATCTTCCAACTTCCTCTTTTCTGGAACTTTATGCAAACCCACTGTTCACATCAATCCCTCTTTTTCCTTCATCTCTGAAGTAATTTCCCATCTTTCATTAACAAACTATGATGAACAATTGTAGCTGTAAAACCAGTTTCAATCAACACTGCAAGCTTTTCCCATCAATAAGCCCCTTACATCTAAATCTTGCCTTAATAATCTCATCATCTCAAGTAATGCTTCACTCTTAGTCCTGGACCTTGTGGTTGCCATATTCACAGTTGGAATTTAACAAGTATATTCAATGTTCTATTTCATGTTGACTAAAATAATCCCACTCTTGAAATAAGTATGGTACCATTATTCTTTCATTAGTACGTCTTTTAGAATAACTAGATGAAATTAATTCCAAGTCCACATAAAAATAACAAAATTAGATTTTCTCCTAATGTTTCTTTATAGGTTTGTGTACTTTTATAACTCACACTGCTGTTGGCCTACATTTACAGCCATGCTGTCTGCAATAAACTAACATAAAAATTAACTTACTTATACAAAGTGACTCAATATGCACAACTAATATAGATATAAAAAAGTAAAACACACTGACTGATTCACTCTACCAGCTAGAAAACAACTATCTTCTTGATGCTTCAATTTTTCACTGTAAAGTTAACTAGCCAACTGACTGGTTCACCCATACTTATAATTCAATCATTGTTCTAGATATTTTGCTAAACCTCTCATTCATTAATATTCCCAAATATTTTAGGAATTGCTTGATCAAAATGTGTTGTAACCCCTAAATTACAAACCTTAAGTTTTAATGTTTGACTTCATTTTCTAAGTTACTTTTCGTATGTCAATACATCCTCGGTTAAATAGCATCCACACAATATTTATCAGCAAGCAAATTTTATCATTGATTTTATACCTATTGGACATAACACTGTTGTGATCAAAACTTAATCTAAGATCCAACCCCATTTTTAAGAGATGTGGAATACATAAAACAGCATTTAAACAGTAACCTTTCAGTGTTAAGGGTGTTCGTCATATTAGTTTCTAGCAATGTTGTGTTTGATTACATTAGAATTGGAAAAAAAGCAGTTTTCCAACTCATAAAATTATTTTGAAATGATGACAAATGTTTCAGACCAAGACCCTTCACTGGGTAGAGCCTAGAATAGTTACAAGGAAATGGAATGTACATATCACATCATGCATACATTAAAACGTTGTGTAGATGCAACAAACTATACTGTTAAATCCAGATGAATAATACACAATAAATTAACTGAAAGAAAAAGTACAAGGTAATCTGAAATATGGACCAGAAAATAATACAAGTTTCTTTTCTATGGGTATTAAATGTATTGGTTATAGAGAGAGAAAAATACAACAGAAAGTAGGATGAGGATATAAAATTAAGGGCACAGTAAACAATGTAAAAATAAACAAACATTAGTCAGAATAAAACATTAAATGAAACAAATGTTTCTGTTTAATTCTGATGGAAAAATGGAACCAAGGGTACAAATATAGCTTTGTTCCTTGCATTTATGTGAGGAATGTTCAACTGTAGCAGGCCTTATGACAATAAGTATTGTCACAAGAAACATGGCATTTGTCATCACAAAAATGTTGGGAGACTGGCTCATCAACATTGCCATTAAAATACGTATTCTGTGCTCATGAAATCTCTCACTAACTTCACAGACTGTCTCACCAATGTACGAAAAGTTGCAAAACAAGTTATGGAATACATAACAGACTGGAATAAACATGTGACCAGGGCCATATTAAGGGTAAGGTAAAAAGAGCAGCTGCACCAAGGCCCTGATCACTTGGTGGCTCACAACAAAAAGTAATATTGAAAGTTTTATGCATTGTATGTACTTGTATTTATTAGGGGTGGAAGGGGCCCAAATACTATCCTACTGTCCCAGACCACATTTGACCTAAATCTACCCAT